TTTGATTGAATGGGATTAGCAGTAGAAAAAGAAAGGAACAAAAGACAGAAAACTGGGGATTAAATTTCACAAACCCTAAATCACACACGATAAAATCAGCCCTAAAATCATCCCCATTAGCAGGTTCCACAGGATCTTCTGGACCTGAGGGAGAGAAAAGTTATTCTTATTGAACCTTCTCGAATACACTTTCTCTGGTTTATCAGCTATATATATACATGTTGAATGAACTAAGCTATCAGAAATAAATATCTAGCTGGCATCAGTAAATCTACAAGAGGTCAATCCCTTGCCGGGGAAGTAATGGGTCAAATGCGATGGAACAACACCTCGTGGAAATTGCATATTTGCACCCCATGGATTCTCGATCAAGGGAATATTTGTGGGAACCATCCCAGCCATATTTCTCTGCGCATATCCCATTGAAGCTAGAAAGGATGGTGGTATTGGAAGTGGTAGATGATGAGGACCTAAATTTAATGGAACATGAACCTGTCCGTTAAAACCATGAGCCGTGGAAGCTTTTGCTTTTCTCTGCGCATCCCAGCCATATTTCTCTGCGCATATCCCATTGCTTTTCTCTCCTTCATTAGCCATTCCTCCACACAGAAACAATCCAAACAAAACCAGAAAAGATTCAAAATTGCCCAGCAGGCGAGGCAGAACCAGAGAGAGAATATAAAATGTGCCTAGACATGTGATTTACACATATACCCCAAAAGATGAGCCACATTATAGATCACATATACTACGCCGTTATATTTTGACGCAATAGACGAAAAAAATTACATGACACCATTTTAAATAATTTGAGAGTTAAAAAGGACGACCCGTGCAATTTACCTTTTTCTCCTTGAGAAAAAAGGGAGCGTAATTTTCCAGTGTAAAAGCGTGCCGCATGTCTTGTCATTTTTAGTTTTTTCTTTTTAGAATTAACTAGTTAAAAACTCCCGCATTATTGTGAAAAATACTATTGTATTATATAAAAAGTTAAGAATTTTATAATAACAGCTTAGTTTATATATACATATATATAGATATATTTATATAATATTTTAGTTAAAAGTTTTTTACAATGTACTATAACTTTTATTTTTCTTTTTAACTGCAAAAATACAAATTTTTTAAAAAATAATAGTAATAATTAAAGATGTTGAAAATCTTTAAGTATATGTAGGCATCGTTCATTTCACCGATTTGAGTTTAAAATTTGAGTTTTGCTGCAGTAAAAAACTCTCACAAAGAGTCACATCTAACTTTTTTATTACAGTAAAAAGCTCTCATATAAAATCATATCTTAACTCGAATCAGCGAACTGAATGAGCCCGCAGTGTAAATTAATAGATTTAGAAGTAGTTATATTACTTGGTTTTTGAGAGTTTTTGGGGTGGGTATGTTGTCTTTAGTTCATAACTAAAATAATAAAATATTGTTAAGATATCTATTCAAAATAATAAATGTTGATTTTATTAATAATTGATATAAATTAGTAAATATAAGAATAAATAAAGAAATAAAAATTGAGGACAAAAGTGTACACTCAGACCATATGGTAGAAAAAGACCCAAAAGCCCCTGCGTAGAAAAGGATAAATGTAAAAAAAGGTAAGGGTATAAATGTACAATCACAGCATAGGCTGGAAAAGACTTAAAAGTCCCTGTGGAGAAAAAGAATGACGAATGGGAGAAAATGGGCAAAACGAACATTGCACACTCAAGGGGCAAAATTAGATTGACACTGTACAATGCACAGTAACTTTTGCATTTCCTTTAGTATATATAATATAATAAAGTGAAGTTCAAGATGAAAATATCGGACCGTTTGGTAACGTTTTCAAAATGATTTTATTTTTAATATAAAAGTAAAAATGAGATTGTTTTGAGAATTATTTTGTGATTGATTTTGAAATTGCGTTTGGTTAGTTTTTTAAGAGATTATTTTGAGTATAATAAACAAGTGAAATTATGTTTGGTTATAATTATTAATTAATATATTATAACATTGTTAATAATAACTTTCAAGCGTTTTTTAATTCATTTATAAAAATCATTCTCACTGTTTTTTATTTTCATTTTTGTTTTCAAAAGATTTGCTAAACAAATACGATTTGCAAATCGTTTTCATTTTCATGCCTCAAAAGATGTATAAAAACATTTTTAAAAATAGACAAAAATCAATTCCAAATGCAAACGTATCACTTGTCTACTAAAAGTTTGCTATCGTTCAAGTCACGTGTAACTTTTCTTATCGTTTAGCTCGCAAAAAAAAACAAAAAATCTAAACTCGTACTAAAAAAAAACTAATATAAATGTGGTAGATTTTGGCACCGCACAAATAGAGATGCAAGAATGGGCCAGCTGGGTCCAGCCTAGCCCGTTCTCCTTAGACCCACGCGAGCCGTGGGCCAGGCTGGCCCAACCCACTAATTTTGTGGGTCGGCCTGTATAAGAAGGACCTCGACCCAGCCCAAACCACGGGCCAATTTTACGTGGGTCAGGTTGGGCCGTGCCGCAGACCAAGATGGGCTATGCCATGGGCCTTGAATGGGCTAGCTCACTCAAGGCCCATCTTGGCCCATAATAGGTTTAGATGGGTCAGCCCATCTAAGCATGTAATTTTTAATTTTTAATTTTTGAATAGTAAATGGAAATATGAAAATGGATATTTTATTTACGATTACCTCATTGAATAAAAATCTTTTTAAGGAAAATCCAGTGAGACAAAACCTTAATAAGAAAAAAAAAAGTACAATCAGGATAATTATACATAAGATATTTACAAACTTACTAAAAAAAAAAACATAAAGATATTATGGGCCTAGATAGGCTAGGCTGGGCCGGCCCATTATAGGCCTAGACGGGCCAGGCTGAGCCGGCCCATCATGGGCCTAGAAGGGCCGACCCAGCCCGGCTTAGCCCATGATTTTTTATGGGTCATGCCGGGCTGGCCCATAGACTGATATATGTTGGCCCAGTTCAGCCCGCCAATATTTATGAGAGGGGCCGTGCCTTGAACAGTGACGGGCCGTGCCATCCCGACCCGTCACTGTGTCAGGATGGGCCTGGGCCGGCCCACGGGCCCCGGCTCCACGCACATATGAGTTTTTGTTGTTCCACTAAACATAATTCTCCTGAAAGTGTGCATTAAAAAAAAAAGTGACTGATCATTAGCATTGATATGATCTGAAGCTCTGGGTTGTGAAAAATGAAGAACAGCTGCGTAGTAAACCATAGCTAATTGGAAGTCCGTCAATGAAAAAAAACAAAAAAAAAAACAAAAAACAAAAAAACCATCCACGGGGCTTACCCTTGCATCCCTCAGCTTAAGTGTTTCAAGTACCGGGCAGCGAGAAACCAGATTTTCAAGGACGTCTTGGGCCAAGTTTACATGTAAAAGATCAAGACTCTTCAAGTTACTGAAACCTTTAAATGATGAAGGAGGTTTGAGAGAACAATAAGAAAACCGCAAGTAAATCAAACTTTGGCAATAAAACAAACAAGATGGCATCCTGTAGTAGTCGCCTAGTTCCCTGTAATTTATACAAGAAATGTCCTTGATAAAGCCTCTTGTAAGATGAACAACAATGCTCCATGGCACTATCAACTATGAACAACATTGCTTCAAATAGCTTAAACTTGTGTATTGGGCCGAAGTGAAGCAAGAGAACCTGATCTATGACACTCACAAGCTTATAGTGCTCCGTTCTCTGTTTAAATCCAAAACAGAAAGATAATGAAGTCAAATCAAGATTTGGAAGCATAGCCCATCTATACCACCACTTGCTTGACAAGATACTTGTCCTCGCTGCTTCCTAAATTGGCAAGCATCATATTGCATTATAGACATATGGCAGGTCTTCTTATCGTTTCAACCGGGAATAATTTTGTTGCAGTGTTCCTTTTTATTTATTTTTTATTTATTGTTTTTTGACAATATTTAGTGTTCCTTTAATTGCAATGTTCACTTTTACTTTAATAAATAATTTGAGTATGAGATTTGGCTTGGGACGAGTCTCCCCATTTAGTTAAGAAATGTGACTATAAACCTTTTATGTCAAACGTGGAAGAAAATCACTATATACGGCCGTAAGAAATGGCGGGATTTTCATTTTTTTTATAATTTATTTTGACACTGATTTCTTACTTATAGAGTGAATTTGTCTAAATTGCACTGACATGAAAGGACTACATTCACACAAAACATCATAGATGTTCTGAACTTTTAAAAAAAAAAAAAAATTGAAAACATGAATTAATGGATGACTTGCACACGAATCATTTTGGCATGGTTGGAGTATGCAAAAGTTAAAAAATTGATCCAACAATCACATAACGCAAAAACAAAGTCGTCTTTTTGACTTAACTTCACAATACTTGTTGCTCCAAGCAGATTTGAAAGGTTAACTCCTGAGACGATCCATCGTAACCGTCACACAGCACCATTCTTGCGATATTTGGTCAACTAATTGTTTGTCAGCTCCAGGGAGATAGCTGGTGATTTTGCACGGCCATTTAGAGCAAGCGCCACAACTTCTCAGTTTCCCTTATGCTTACCCTCCCAGGCATGATGAGTCTCAGCCTCCCTTTCTCCCATCACACTTGCAAAATTATAGACCTTTTGTTGCAATACATACATAAATAAATGTATAAATTTAACAAGAGTTAGTTGGCATCAGCTTCGGACTTCCACCACCGTCCCATGCATAATCAATTTACCGAATCCCAAAGTTATCAGAAAGTTTGATTTTTCAATCGACAGGAGTCAGTGTTGATGTGGAATTGCTCGATCAGTGAACTTTCTCAATATCGGTCAATTTATCTGTTAAATTGAATAATATCCCTAATCTGATCAACATTTTAATTGAGGTCAAAAGTCAAGAAAATGATTTTTAGTGCCTCAAAGAAATAATTTGAGGGTAAATGCGTTATATTTTTCATCTAGTCCAATTCCAAAATGGACTCAAACATGAGAAAGAGAGGAATTAATTATCATTACCACGGTCCACGCATGACATACCGTACTTATAATATGTATCAAGATATTCATAGATAAACATCACAAGTATCATATAAAACCAACATTTTTTTTTCACAAGGCGCTTCTCAAACAGCTTATTTAAACTTTAATTAATACATGACTGTTTGAGATCATTAGCGTAGAAATGATCACTATGATCATGGATTTGAATATTATTTTTGGATCCGTCACTCGCTATATTTAGAAGCTTGTGGACCCGGCTCCAAATCTTTAGCAAATTTAAAGGATGTTCCTGCTTGTTTGGCGTCAATATCATCAGGATAAGCTGAGACGTTTGGTGTTGGTTCAAAGTCATCAGTGAAGGAATTCTGATCATGAGTTCCATGACAGTCGGCTTTCTCATTCGAATTCTTCGGTGCCGACTCCAAATGATCATGAACAATAAGCCCTTGAATTTCCTTTGGCATTGGTTGATCTTTCATCACATTTCTCCAGTATTCTCCTTCTGCATCTTTTCTTGATTCTGAAGTACTAGCAAACTGCACCATACAACAGAGAAAATTACTATAAGAGAAAATGTTTTGACACATTACAAGTCATATTAAGTGGACTACTAATAAAAGTAGACTTCGTACTATATAAGAAACTTGAAAAATCATGCATATATAATATAAGTCTTTGTTGGGTTTCGCAAAGCCAACTTCATTGCATGCATTATATTTAAACCGCTACTATATATAATGGTACGTATAAGACATTGGCAAAAATGCTTACTGCTAGAAGAAATGCAAGAAGGAGAGCAAAAACGGCAAAATTAGAAGATTTCATGATGCCTACAACCTATTAAGTGAGGTTTTTGGTTTCTTTGTTTAGTAGGCTCGTGCTATTTATAGATAATAATATCAAAATAATATATGATCACCTGGCGGCTAGTTAGTATTAAATCATCTGAATTAAAACTTGTATTTGATTTCTTGCACAATTCATCCCGTGGGCCAGAAAATAGGCCAGTGGGGATCACTTTCATAAAACTTTTCCTTCAGAGGAAAAAAAAAAACAAAGATATTAGAAAAATCTCTTTACAGCTAACAAGTTTAAGTGCATGACACAAAAAGAAAGTCAGATCCACAATGATTTTTTGTTTTGTCTTTCCTTGCAAAAGATTGCATTTTATATCATTTCATTCTATAGATAAGAAGAGGGGATACCTCTTTCTAACTTTGGTACTTCAACTCTTTGTTTGCTTGCTTTCACTTTTTTTTTTCTTTCAAGCTTTCTTTTTTTTTTAATTTATTTATTTTACTTGCTTGTTTTAAACCTTTTATAAATTGTATTTTTCAGTTTTTTTTTTCCTTTCTCATTTCTTTAATTGTATTTTAAATTTTTGTGCTTTTTTTCTTCTTATTTTTTAAGTTTTTTTTGGTTTTCAAGCTTTACTTTTTTCCTTTTTTTATCTATATCTCGAGGTATGAAATTTTGTACTTCAACTATTTGCTTGCTAGCTTTCTTTTCTTTTCTTTTTTTTTTTTTTCAATTTCCATTATTCTCTTTTTCTTATTATTTTTGTTATTTTTTTGCACTATTTATTGGTTTTCTCTCTCTCTCTCTCTCTCTCTCTCTCTCTCTCTCTCTCTCTCTCTCTTTCATTTTATTTTCACGTTGCTTATAAAATTCTTTTTCCTAAAATTTTCCCTTTAAAGAGTGTTTTATTTTTGGTTTTTTTTTAATTTTTTATTTTAGTGTTGCTTATAAAATTCTTTTTCTAAAATTTTCTCTCTTTTTTTTTTTTTTCTCTCTCTCTCTCTCTCTCTCTCTCTCTCTCTCTCTCTCTCTCTCTCTCTCTCTCTCTCTCTCTCTCTTTCATTTTATTTTCACGTTGCTTATAAAATTCTTTTTCCTAAAATTTTCCCTTTAAAGAGTGTTTTATTTTTGGTTTTTTTTTAATTTTTTATTTTAGTGTTGCTTATAAAATTCTTTTTCTAAAATTTTCCGTTTAAGATATTTTTTTTCTCAATTATGTTTATGAGTATTTTATTTTGTGTTCTTCAACTCCTTGCTTGCATGCTGATACATAAATTGTTCTTCAACCTGTTGCTTGCATGTTTTTACTTGCTTGTTCTTTTGTTTTTGTTCTTTTTTAAATATTGTATTTATATTGTTTCTCATTATATATTATTTTTTGTCCTTCAACTTCTTGGTTGCATGCTTATATATAAATTGTTCTTCAACCTTTTGCTTAAAAGTTTTTACTTTAATACTTGCTATTTTTATTGTTTCTCTTTAAAATATATTTTTAATTAGTTCAACTCAAATTATAAGTTGAATTATTTGCATATTAATTATTTTTATATTTTAATAGAGAAATAACTAGCCTTATGCCCGCGCGTTGTAGCAGGTGATAATGTTGTGATATAGAAAGAATCGACAATTTTTATGGTAATGTATTTATATATATATATATATATATGTCTATATATGAAAAGTTATTTACAATGTTATTTACAATGATGTTGTTATAAAAAGTTATTTACAATGTATATGTACATATATACAATGTGTTTGAGTTTACAGGTATATGTATATATATAGTTTGATTTCTTCTTTTTATTTCCCTGGCTCTTTCTTAGCTGCAAAACATAAATTTTTGAGAAATTAGCATTGATAATTTTGAAGATTAAAAATATTTCAATTTAAGTATGGTTGTGTTACCTGGTTCTTGGACGTTTTCTTAGCTGCTGTGTTTCTTTTGAGTGAGAATTGAAAATAGGAAAATGTTATTAACATATATATGTGTAAAATTGCAGTTATTATTTTTTTATTGATGAGTAAAATAAATAAGTCGATATATTTTACCTTATAGCTGATTCTTTTGGGATTGGTGTCTGTGGTTCAATTGGTGGTAGCACTAATGGTTGTGTTTCTGCTTTAGGGCTGAAACAATAGAATATTATTTAAATATATATTTGAAATAGTAGATATTGTCTTCTATATACAATTGATATAAATTAGTAAAAATATTTTACCTTGTTGTTGGTATTTCTGTGGGAGATGTTTGTGGTGATGATATTACAGGTTGAGTGTCTTCAAATATCTTCAGTGCGATTGTATTTATCTATCCTCCTATTTGTTGGAAGTATATTTGGAAGATTTTTATTTGCCCTCTCAATTGGTTGATAATTGGTGGGATTGTGAACCGATCTGTAAAGCCTTCATCTATTGTTAGAGTGAAGCATGGTTTCTTGATGAGGGCCTGTGCTGCTCTGCCAAATATAGTTACATCCATATTTCTGGTACGGTCCTCGATTTTTGTGATTAATTTGTACCTATATTTTATATAGTAATAGATTGTATGTATGAAACATTATTTATAATAATTAAGGAAGGTACATAGATTTTTATAATAAATAATTTTTAATTTTGATTACCATGGGGATGGCGTTGTTTTTATATGCCCGTGACTATTACACCACCAACCGCTTCCTACTTCTCTTAATTGTTGATAACATTTAGGACATGAATTACAGTACCATCATTGGCTTCCTAAGAATTCAATTATTGTAGCTTTCACCGTAAATTTTAGGTCCTTTATAATTAAGAATAAATTGTCATCCTAAATAGTGTAGTTTTAAAGTAAAAAGAATGTGAAACCGTATAGTACTGACTTGATTAATTTCTTGTTGTAGCAATTTTAATTCATTGATTGTTTTTCTATTTGCTATCCTTTGTTCTTCGATGGATGGTGCTTGTGTTGCTGATGCGATTGGGAATTCAATTTGTTGATTTTGGTGGGCAAATCTGTACATGTAAAGTTAAAAGAAATTAAATAAAGAAGTAGTAAAAGAATTTTTTGTTTTCAGACTTTGTTGATTATTTTAGTTACCTTGTTTTTAGTGTTTTTATTTTTGGTATATCTGGATCAATGTAGAAAGTTGTTGCCGTTGTACTTGAGACATATGCATTGCCTGAAAAATTTATAATAAGTTGATTAGTGCTTTGTTATACATATATCTAAGTATTTTATGTCTATATAAAAATATTGTTTTGAATTGCTGAGAAAATACCTAAATATTGCTTAACCAACATTGATGTAAAAACTGCTACAACTGGTCCTTGCATCAATTTTATAACATTTTCATCAAATTGATCGGCTTTGTATCCCCATAATGTAACTTGGAGTTGTTCATTCCTGTTGGAAAGACAAAATAAAAGAAAAAGATTGATGTAAAAATCTGTTAAGTATTGCAAAAAATTTTGGTTTTTTGTAATTATATGTTTTCTCCATATGGTCAAAATAGAATTTTTGTAGAACTTATTTACCTTATATTTTGGATCATTATGGTGCGCCGCGTTGTTGAACTTCTGGCAACACTTGCTTGCTCGAGTATTTGCACTCCTGCTAGATAGCTATCACATCTGTATGCAAATGAATAAAAAATGTTAAGAATATATTGTTAAATTAATAAATGTTTCTTTAATCATAAAGAGTGATTGACATTACCACTTAAGAATTCTGTTGTTTCGATTATGTGTTGGAGTTGGTCGAATTCAACGAAGTAAAACCTATGAAATGGAATGGGCAATGGTTCGTCTGTAACTGGGGTAAAAGATATTGCACGTGCGAATTATAGCATTACATTGTGTGGTACAACTTTGTATGTTGGTTTGTTCTCACAAACAAAAAAGTTGCTGATGTCATATATATTGTCCAATTGGATTTTTTTCAGAAATAGTGTCTGAGTCACGTGCCTGAATTGATCCCTGGATTGCTTCATGCTGCGAGTGACAAAAATAAAAATGTTATTTATTTTATAGTATTTAATGTTAGATCAAAAATAATATAATGTAATATTTGCGAGAATTGTTACCTCTTCATCGACTAAGAGACAATCGAGGCTGATTAAACGTCCTGTCGTCAGATCATTGTTTGTCCATAATCTGAAAATTCTTGCCCTAATTCTTTCATAAATTTCATTTGGTTTCAGTGCATGGATTGGTGTTGTCATTTTGTTTAACTGTTAAAGAAAAGAAATAATTGTTTAATAAGTAAAGGAATAATTTTATTGGATATGTTTTTAGTATGTTTATAATAAAAGATTTTAATTATATAATAAATGGTGCATTACGATGATGGATATGTTTTAATTTTATTGATGATAAAATACTTTTGCTATATAAAAGAAACTATAATATGTATGTCTTATTTGATATTGTGTAGAATTTCTTTATAGATAATGTTTTTTTACATGATTTGGATATTTATTAATTGATTCGTGAATTAGTATATGCAATCCTTTTGGGTTTGTCTCTCGTGATAAAGCTACATATAATTGTCCATGTGTAAAAATTTCCCTTTCTAGATATAATCTAATTTTATTCAATGATTTTCCTTGGCTTTTATTTATTGTCATTGCATAACAAGTTTTGACGGGAAATTGCTTCTTTTTAATGTAAATGGCCATTTAGATTCATGTATGATCATTTATATTCTTGGTATATAGACTGTTTAAGTAATATCATTTGAGTTTATAATTTGTCCTTCCATAATTTTACTTGTTAATTGTGTAATGATAAGTCTTGTTTCATTACACAATCTGATGGATTGATTTAGATTTCTTAATAATATTATAGGAGTTTCGAGTTTAAGGTTTAGTTAATATGGTGGTATTCTATTAAATTCAAGGCTGTGTAGAAATTCTTCACGATATCAGAAATTAAGTTCATCTATGTTTCCAGATGAAGATACAATTGTATCATAACTATAATAAGATTTTAATTCTGTTGGGACCAAAGATAGTAGATAATTATTGATATCGTCTGCTATTTTATTTTTTGGGGTTACTATTGCTCGTTGT